ATAGATTAGATTAGATAGAGATAGATAGTAGGTAGATAGATCCATCAGGAAGACTGCTGGGAGTTGAAGTCCAAGAATAGGTAGAGAAGGAAGAAAGGAGAGAAAGAAAAAGGGAGGGGAAGGAGGGAGAGGTAGAGAAGGAAGGAAGGAGAGAAAGAAAAAGGGAAGGGAAGGAAGGAGAGGCAGTGAAGGAAGGAAGGAGAGAAAGGAGAGAAAGGGGAAGGAAGGCAGGAAAGAGGGAGGGAAGCAAGGAGAAAATTAGGGAGAGAAGGTTGGGAACAGCAACACGTGGCAGCTACAGCTAGTAGCTCTATAACTAAATAGTGTGAATGAGCTCTGGTACCTCTAACTGGAGATGCCAGGATTTGGACCCAGGACCTTTTGCATCCAAAGCAGGTACTTTACCACAATCACCCTCTGCTCTCTAAAGGTACAGTTACTTAACTAGTTTGTCCAGAAGCAAAACAGGGACTTCTCACACCTTATAGGAGAATCGTATTTCCAACCGAGAGTGAGAATCATGTGCCCTCTAGATCACCCTAGACAAAATAGCAATGGAAAGGAATGCTACAAGCTGCAGTCGTACAACTCCTATCCCTGATCAAAACTTTTTCAATGGGGTTATAACACTAGAGCATGGGTATTGTGCGCAGCCCAACTACTTGATAAACTGGCAGGAAGCAAATGCAGGTCTCTTTCACATTACAGAATTAGACTAGAGTAGAGTCTCGCTAATCCAACATAAACGGGTTGGTAGAACGTTAAATAAGTGAAAATGTTGGACAATAAGGAGGGTTTAAGGAAAAGCCAGTCCATCCTCCAGGAAATAAAGCCCGACTGCTCACTGGAGGGAAGGATACTAGAGACAAAGTTGAAGTAATTTGGCCACCTCATGAGGAGACAGCAAAGCCTAGAGAAGACAATTATGCTGGGGAATGTAGAAGGTAAAAGGAAGAGGGGCTAACCAAGGGCAAGATGGATGGATGGCATCCTTGAAGTGACTGGACTGACCTTGAAGGTGCTGGGGGTGGTGACGGCCGACTGGGAGCGCTGGCGTGGGCTGGTCCATGAGGTTACGAAGAGTCGGAGACGACTGAACGAATGAACAACAACAAGAAGGAAAAGCCTATTAAACATGAAATTATGTTATGATTTTACAAGTTAAGCACCAAAACATCATGTTTTACAACAAATCAACAGAAAAAGTAGTTCAATACATGGTAAGGTTATGTAGTAATGAATGTATGTACGAATTTAGCACCAAAACATTGCAATGCAGTGAAACAGCTGTGGATCCGGGCAGACTGCATTGGATAATACAGAATGTTGGATGAGCACATGTTGGATGAAGAGACGTTGGATAAGCGAGACTCTACTGTACTTCAATATCTGTCCAATGGAATTCTAGAATTAGCAGTTTTATTAGGTTTTAGCTGTCCCCTGCCACGCGTTGCTGTGGCCCAGTCTGTGCATATGTGTTTTGTGTGTATATATATTTGTTTAGGGTAAAGGTAAAGGTTTTCCCCTGACATTAACTCCAGTCGTGTTCGAATCTGGTGGGTAGTGCTCATCTCCATTTCTAAGCCAAAGAGCCGGTGTTGTCCATAAACACCTCCAAGGTCATGTGGCCGGCATGACGCCATGGAGCGCCACTACCTTCCCAATAGCAGTACCTACTGATCTATTCACGTTTGCATGTTTTAGAACTGCTAGGTTGGCAGAAGCTGGGGCTAACAGCAGGAACAGCAGGAACATATGTGCGTTTGTGTATATGTGTGTGTGTGTGTGCATTGTAATGTATTTTTTGGGTTTTTTTGGCTTTTCAGTCCCTTCTGCTGTGTTTTTCAGTATTTTTATGAGTGATGGTCACTTGTTGGACTGATAGGTGCATAGTGTTGGACTGATAGGTGCATTGTGTCCAAATTTGGTGTCAATTCGTCCAGTGGTTTTGGAGTTATGTTGATCCTACAAACAAACATTACATTTTTATTTATATAGATTTCGAAATAGAAATTTCTACCTGAGAGCTCTAATACCTCATGAAACTACAAACACCAGGATTCTGGCAGATGTATCTGGAACAGTTAAAACAGTAACAGTGTACAATAGTTACAGACGTCCTCCACCTTTTGACACCTTACTTTCTAACCCATTGCCCCATTAATTAAGTTCCATTAATCTGATGAGGGGTCAGTTCTTCTTGCTTAGGAAGCTTATTCAGACGGCTTATAGGCATATGGAAAGGGTAGATTCTCTTCTGATTGATTACAAAAGCTCTTTCAGATTTATCACATTCAAAAGTGATATGTAGTTTGTTATGTAAAGTTTTCAACAGTCAGGATGCATTTGCAAGGTAAAATAACCATGGTTTCACTGTCACCAATCCCACTTTCTGACAGAGCTCTTGTAACTAACCTACCAGACAAGTAGGGGCTTCCTGTATGAAGTCTGAATGAGTCTTTGGTTCAATGACTAGACAGTAGAGAATGCATGAATGACTTTACAGATGCTAAATACAATCAATGTGCTTGAGGTCACCAACACTATTCCCTAGACCCATATCATATGCTTTGGAATCACAGAATCATAGAACAATAGTGATGGAAGAGACCACATGGAGAATCTGGTCCAACCCCCTGCCATGCAGGAAAAGTACAATCAAAGTATCCCTGACAGATGGCCATCCAGACTCTGTTTAAAAGTTTCTGAGGAATGCAGAGCTGCTCAATACCTTCTTTCCTTCAGTCTTCTTCCTAAAGAAAATGAATGTTCAATCTAAGCAATACAGAGCGGACGAGATAATAAAGGAAATGCAACCCAAATTAAGGAAACGCGTGGGGATGCGTGGCTTGAGAGCGGTCCGTGTGAAAAGATCTTGGAGTCCTCATGGACAACAAGTTAAACATGAGACAACAATGTGATGCGGTGGCAAAAAAAAAAAGCCAATGGGATTTTGGCCTGCATCAGTAGGAGCATAGTGCCTAGATCTAGGGAAGTCATGCTACCCCTGTATTCTACCTTGGTTAGACCACACCTGGAATATTGTGTCAAATTCTGTGCACCACAGTTGAGGAGAGATATTGACAAGCTGGAATGTGTCCAGAGGAGGGCAACTAAAATGATCAAGGGTCTGGAGAACAAGCCCTATGAGGAGCGGCTTAAAGAGCTGGGCATGTTTAGCCTGAAGAAATAAAGGCTGAGAGGGGACATGATAGCCATGTATAAATATGTGAGGGGAAGTCACAGGGAGGAGGGAGCAAGCTTGTTTTCTGCTTCCCTGGAGACTAAGATACGGAACAATGGCTTCAAACTACAAGAAAGGAGATTCCATCTGAACATGAGGAAGAACTTCCTAACTGTGAGAGCCGTTCAGCAGTGGAACTCCCTGCCCTGGAGTGTGGTGGAGGCTCCTTCTTTGGAGACTTTTAAACAGAGGCTGGATGGCCATCTGTCAGGAGTGCTTTGAATGCAATTTTCCTGCTTTTTGGAAGGGTTTGACTGGATGGTCCATGAGTTCTTTTCCAACTCTATGATTCTATGATTCTATGAATACAGTTGGAAGAGACCACATGGAGAATCTGGTCCAACTCCCTGTCATGCAGGAAAAGTACAATCAAAATATCCCTGACAGATGGCCATCCATACTCTGTTTAAAAGTTTCCGAGGAAGGTAGAACTGCTCAATACCTTCTCTGCTTCAGTCGTCTCCCTAAAGAAGATGGATGTTCAACCTAAGCAATACAGAGCGGGCGAGGTAATAGAGGAAATGCAACTCAATATAAGGAAAGAAGTACCTGGCAACTCTAAATGAATTCATGTCTCCAGGGCCATGTTTAGCCTGCAGAAGAAAAGATTGAGAGGAGATGTGATAGCCGTGTACAAATATGTGAAAGGGTTGCCACATAGGGAGGAGGGTTGTCCTCATAGGGCTTGTTCTCCAGACCCTAGTTTCCAACAGACTTCACAACCTCTGAGGATGCTTGCCATAGATGCGGGCGAAACGTCAGGAGAGAATGCTTCTGGAATGTGGCCGTACAGCCCAGAAAACTCACAGCAACCACAGAATCTATGATACTTGTATACCAGGGAACAAAGTTTATCTACACCTAATAATCTCAATAAAATAGTAAAGAGCAGAGACATCAGACTGGCAACAAAGATCCGCCTAGTCAAAGCCATGGTATTCCCTGTAGTAACCTACGGATGTGAGAGCTGGACCTTAGGGAAGGCTGAGCGAAGGAAGATCGAATGCTTTTGAACTGTGGTGTTGGAGGAAAGTTCTGAGAGTGCCTTGGACTGCGAGAAGATCCAACCACTCCATCCTCCAGGAAATAAAGCCCGACTGCTCATTGGAGGGAAGGATACTAGAGACAAAGTTGAAGTACTTTGGCCACATCATGAGGAGACAGCAAAGCCTAGAGAAGACAATTATGCTGGGGAAAGTGGAAGGTAAAAGGAAGAGGGGCCGACCAAGGGCAAGATGGATGGATGGCATCCTTGAAGTGACTGGACTGACCTTGAAGGAGCTGGGGGTTGTGACGGCCGACAGGGAGCTCTGGCGTGGGCTGGTCCATGAGGTCACGAAGAGTCGGAGACGACTGAACGAATGAACAACAATCATCGGGAAACAAAGATGTCATCCATGTGGGTGATTCTGAGGTATTTCAGAAATCCAGAGAAGAGATGCTCAACCTGTAGAACCAAAAGCACACCTTGTGCGTGGAAGTGTCTCCCACACTCCTCCTCCAAAAGCGCACTCCCAACCCCTAGACTTCCTTCCATCCTTCTCCCCTTTCTTACCAGGATGCAAAGGGGTCTGGGGGCACCTTTGAGCAAGAAGTTTGCTCAGCAGCCTACGCTCAAGTTGGCTGAAGACTCCTTCCTTGGGTGCCATCTCCCCAAAGTGGGATGCTCCCTAACCAACTTCTTGCTCTCCAAGGTGCTTTGGGGAGAGCGGGATTCCAGGGCTACGAGAGGAGGGGGATATCCCCGATTGCTTACCAGGAGCAGATGTTTGCAGCCCTCGTTGGCCAGCCAGCTCCGGCATGAGGGAGCCATGGTCCTGCCTGTCTCCAAAAGCACCAACCCCGGCTCGGAAATGCGGCGCTTGGAGGGGGCAACCGGGGCCGGGCTCTTCCTTTTCAGCCTCGGGAAGCCAGCCCTCCCCCTCCCGGCCTCCTTCCGGCCGCCCCCTTTCCCCCTGTCCCCCCTGGGAGGGGGGTCTGGCTTGTTTCCCCCCTCCTCCCTCCCTCCCTCCCTCCCTCCCTCTCCACCTTCCCTTTGCGCCTCGCAGACAATTCCAGGGTGGCGCCGACGCGCTCCTTTGTCTGGAACGAGGCGGAGGGAGATGCAGAGTTGCTTGGTCCGGTGCATTTGGGGAAGGAGGGGGGGGGGCTCCTTGCTTTCCAATGGGACGGTCTATGTGCTCTTTTCAACTCTCTCTCTCGGCTCACGAAGGAGTTGAGAAACCTCCGGTTGCGTTCAGCTCTGGAAACTTTGGCCACGCTGGGCTTTTCATCCAAACGGAAAGGCTGCCTCTCTATCCGTGGTTCCCTCAACTTAGTTGTCCAAGTTCTTTTGGACTTCAACTCCCAGAAGCCTCAACCGGCTCAGCTAGCACTCAGGGCTTCTGGGAGTTGAAGTCCAAAACACCTGGAAGATCTGAAGAACTAATGCAGTTTGGCAACGCTTTCCTTGCTTGCCATGGCGCAATGCTCAACACAGGACTTCTGGGAGTTTGAAGTCCAAAACACCTGGCAAGACAGCCAGGTGTTTTGGGAAACAAAGAACTGAAGAAGGAATGCAGAAATACTGCTATGTACAAAGGGAACAGTTAACTTGAGTACAGGTCATATCAGCAACAAGGTAGACATCCTCACAGGATTATCGGAGACATACTTCCCAATGAAAATGTTTGGAAGAGAAGGCTTATTCCAGTTTCATGAGGCTAGCATGAGGTGTACACTTTTGCGTTGCTGAGAGTCTTGCAGGCTGTATGGCCAAGTTCCAGAAGCACTATCTCCTGACGCTTCACCTACATCTATGGCAGGCATCCTTAGAGGTTGTGAGGTTTGTTGGAAACTAGGAAAATTGAGTTTATATATCTGGAATGTCCAAGGTGGAAGAAAGAACTCTTGTCTGCTTGAGGCAAGTGTGAATGTTGCCATTGGCCACCCTTGGGGGGTGATTAGCTGGCATGGCAGGGGTTTGGACTGGATGGCCTCTTCCAGAGCTAGGATTCTATATCAGGAGTAGATAATATGGGGTCTTATGGATACCATCTTATGGAAAAAGGAAGAGGGGCCAACCAAGGGCAAGATGGATGGATGGTGACTGGATTGACCTTGAAGGAGCTGGGGGTGGTGACGACCAACATGGAGCTCTGGCGTGGGCTGGTCCATGAAGTCATGAAGTGTCAGAAACGACTGAACAAATGAACAACAACAATGGATACCATCTCATCTTGACCAATGCCAACCTTTTTGGGATCCAAACATTTTCTGTCTTTCCTTCACTTTCTGCCTCCAAGAGAGAAGAGGAAGGGAAGGGAAGGGCAGGGAGGGGTCTTGGGGAAAAACCCCTCCCTCCCGGTCCACCCATTCCACTCCAGCCCACCATGTAGCCCCCCAAGTTAGGAAGTTTGCCCATGCCTGGTATAGATGGAAATTGATGGAAATGCAACTCCATTTTTTTTAGGAAAAAAAGATTCACAAGTAAACAGAGGCTGCTAGCCATCTGTCAGGGGTGCTTTGAATGCAATTTTCCTGCTTCTTGGCAGGGGGTTGGACTGGATGGCCCATGAGGTCTCTTCCAACTCTAAGATTCTATGATTCTAAAGTTCATCCCCTGGTTGAACATTAGGTAAAAACTTCACCTGTTGAATGGCTGCCTAACATTTCAGGGATTAGCGGCACAAGAGTGTCATGGTTACCTTCAATAAGAGTTTGTTGGAGGACAGTTTCCAACATTCCTCACTCTTGGTTTGGGCTGCTGGGAGCTTTGGTCCAACAACCTCTGGAAGCATGTTGTTGAAGGTTTTCATGGCCAGAATCACTGAGTTTCTCTGAGTTTTTCAGGCTGTATGGCCATGATCGAGTAGCATTCTCTCCTGGTGTTTTGCCTGGCATTTTGCAAGTAGCCCCATTAGTTCTTGAAGATGCCAGCCACAGATAAAGGCTAAACATCAGGAGTGAATGCTACTGCAACATGGCCATAAAGCCCAAAAAACCTCACAGTGACCCAACCCCTGGAAGATTGCCCCATTCCCAGTGTTGTTTTACAGCAGGCTGGGAATGAGTGCTTAATGTTTCCTAAACTGGTCTTCCAGGCATCAGCTCCCAGAGCCTCTGATTATTGGCTAAGTCTTCTGAAAGTTGAAGCCCAAAACACTTGGATGAATAGAAATTGGGAATCATTGAGTTGGCAGCCCAGAATTTGGGAAGGGGGTGGATTGACTGCAATGCCCCAAGGTGACTTTTTTCAAGCCCTACATTTCAATACGTCACAGATTCCTCTGAAAATCTTAAGAATGTTATGGACACATAAACCACTAGAGAAATACACCGTATATAAGTATTTTACAGAAATGACTGCCATTGAGTTTGTGACATTACAGAGGAATATCTTTTTTGCAGACTAATCTGGAAAACAGTAACAAATCATCACAGTTAACTATAATTAAAAAGGGTCATTTTTATTATAAAAGACACAAACTCGAGGGAAAATATTCCATACATACACACAACACATACATAAACACACAAACTAGCTTGGGTACCTAGCATTGCCTGGGTTATTAGAAGAAAGTCATTTTTTATTTTACGAAATGCATAAGGTTGTGGGAGTACTACGGCTCACAACATGCTAGGTTAACCATGAAACTCCATCAATAATTAAAGTTTTTCATGTTGGGTAAGTTTGCTCTAGATGCATCATCGGTGGAGTTTAGTGTGCTTTCCAGCTGCAGGATGAATTACAACTCTCACCATGGTGGCTGAGTACAGTCAAATCCCTCCAGCATGTTCAGTTGGTCATGGGAGTTCTGTGTACCAAGTTAGTCCCAGATCCATCATCGGTGGGGTGTAGAGTGCACTTTGATTGCAGGTGAACTATAAATCTCAGTACCTGGAACTTACAAATGTCAAGGTCAATTCATCCCAAAGCCCGCCAGTATTCGAATTTTGGCATATTGGGTATGCGTGCCAAATGTGCAGATCCATTGTTGTTTGCATTCACAGTGCTCTCTGGATGTAGGTGAACTATAATTCCTATAAATCCAGGTGAATTTCACCCAAAGCCCTCCTGTATGTTTTGTTTGTCATGAGGGTTCTATGTGCCAAGTTAGGTCCAGGGCCAACATTGGTGGAGTCCAGAGTGCTCTTTGATTGCAGGTGAACTATAAATCCCAGTACCTACAACAGCTATAAATCAAAGTGAATCCCCCCCCCCCCAAAAAAAGAAAACTCTCCAGTATTTTTCTTTAGTCATGGGGGTTCTGTGTGCCAAATGTGGTCCATGTCCATTGTCAGTGGAGATCACAGTGCTTTGACTTGATGCAGAGTGAACTACAACTTCCACCATGTGGAGTCAGGCCCCCAAACTCCTCCAGTATGTTTACTTGATGATTAGTTCTGCTCTGTTTGTTGTGCAGACAGAGTTGAAAAGAGTGGGAAAGGGTTAAGGGAGAGGCAGTGGGAGGGATCATGCAAATTCCACACCAATGGAGAGAGTAAGGAACACTGGGATATCTGTAGTAGAGGAAACAGGTAAAATCTAGGATGAAATTGTTTCCAGGTGAAAGCATTCCTTGGGAGGTAGGCAGTATGGCGTTTGGATTTAATTGATAGATTCCCCAAAACCTGTGGACCTCCTGGCTAGGAGTTTGAATCTCTGAATTTGTTAGTGCTTTATGTAGTTTAATAGATTTGTTTAATTGTTTAATTGGGTTAAACTTTGAACTTTTAATATTTCTATGTTGACTTCTATTTTGATGTTTTTTTATGTTAGGTTTTAATTCACACATTGTTATGGTTTTAACCTTAGCCACTCTGAGTCTCCTTTGGCATTCTGGCAGGTCTGATTAAAGATATTAAATTGATTTGTTTTTATTTTGAAAGGAGAAAAGTGCTATTGCCTACTGCCAGTCATTTAGGTTGCCTTGGAAAATTATAGTGCCTGGCCCAGTGCCTGCTCTTCCAGGCCTAACAGCTTTACTAAAATTACTTCGCAGAGTGATAAAGCAGGCCTGATCCATGGTTGAGGGAGGAAAATCTCCCCTTTTTCTGCTGAAAGTGATCCTAGTTGTCTCCACAGGTATGCTCTCAGGGCACTCAAAAAGCACTTTTAGGTTTCATTGTCCATTCAAGAGGCAATTCAATCAAGACAAGAGGTTATTTGA